TCCCCCCTTCCCCCTTCCCCCTTTTTTAATAAAGCACTAAGGGGGGCTGCCCTGCCGGGGGAGCACGAGCTCCTCCTCGAGGCGGGGCCCTTGGTGAATCAGCCCGACGCCCGGGTCCGGCTTCAAACGAAGTGGGGCCGGGCCCTCGCGCACCGCGACAGGCAACAGCGTGCTCTGCGTCACGCCGAGCACTGGCTGACCCGCGTGATCCGTTGCGGGAGAGGGCGCGCTGCGGCGATTGCCGTCCACTTGGCCACCTCGCCCTGCGAGAGCTCCGCCACCTCGGTTCGAGGACCAGAGCTCCAGGCCTCCTTGGGTGCTTCAGCGACGGCGTTGGCGCCGAGCGCCGACGCGGTGGGAGGACCAGAGGGCAGCGGGAGGCCCGTCACCTCGCCACTGCTCAGGAGCTGCTCCAGGCGAGCCACCCGGTCGACCAGCCCGCCGCCGGGGGCACCGAGCGGCAGACGCGTCTCGCCGGCTCCGTTGCCGCCCGCTCCCCTCTGTTGCCGACGTAGCAATCTTTCCAGCGCCTCCTCCAGCGCCACCACCCGGCTCTTGACTCGGAGTAGTTTGTCGGTGGCGCCGCTCAAGAACGGGACAAAGACATACGCCTCCAACGCCCCGAGCCTGCAGGGCAGGTTGCCGCCAGGTGGCATGAAGCCAGCCGCGCCAACCCGCGTGCGATCACCACCGCTGCTTGTTTCGCCGCTGCTGCCGCTGGCCGGCTGCCCCTTGACCGCTTTGGGCGGCTCCGCCTCGACGCGCGCCCTCGCCGCCCGCTCCTCCCTCCTCGGAGCGAGCGAGACGGTCAACACACCAAATGAAGGCTCTGTGAGGTGGAACTGCTCGCTCTGCGGTGGAGCCAAGATCCAGCTCTTGGCCTTGATGCCCTCCGTGGCTTGGCGCGAGTGCTTGCGGAGGTCCATCCACAAGCTGGTCAGGAGCATGGAGCCACCTGCGTTTTCCAGCAGCCTGGCCGCGCTCTCCGAGAGCGCAGCAGTGGTGGCCGGCGTCGAAGAGCCATTTTGGGCGTCCTTGTTTCCTAGGGGTTGCTCGGCCACTGCCTTTGCTGGCGCCTTCGCCGCCGCCTTCTTCGCCTTCAGCGTCGGCTCTGGTGGCGCACATCGGTTGTTATCCTCGCCCACGAGCTTCTTCTCCGCCCGGCATCTGGCACAGCGACCCCGGTAAATCCCTGCCCTCCCATCCTTGAGCTGCCGGAGGTTGCCGTACGGACAGTTCGGGCACGACGGCCGCGCGGCGGCGCGCTCTGTCGGAGCAAGCTTCCCTCCCTCCTTTGGGCTGGAGGTGAGTTGAGAGCGCGCCAGCTCGGCCGCTCTCGAGCGAGCCAGCTCTGCAGCCACTGCCAGCGCCGCCTCCGCCTCCGCCCGCGCCAAATCCGACGCCTTTGCCCGCTCCTCCGCCGCCAGTGCTCGCTCCTCTGCTTGTTGCAGTGCCTGCCGACTCACTGTGGCAGCAGCGGCCGGCGCGTCCTCGACCCGCCGAAGGAGCGGCTCTTGCATCAGCTTGGCCGTCGCCGCTTCCACCTCGTACCGAGCCTTATTCCGAAAGCTCTTTGCAGCCGGAAAGCCAACGTTCGCGCCGGCCTGCTCCGCTGCCAATCGCTGCTGCATGAGCCACTGCCGCTGATGATGTGGCTGCTGCATGATTGCCGCTGCATCCTGATACTCGGACCGGTGGTGCTGGCGTTGCAAGGGCTTGGGCCTCGGGCGGCTGGCGGCAAGGCCCGTGGCCCGCTGATTGATATCAACGTTGGCGAATTCTCGCGCGTGCTCGCGCGGCATTCCGAGCGCCACGCCTGGGCGCTCGAGCCGCACCCGGCTTTACGGCCCGCCGCGCCAACACGACTTCCGCCGATTGGATCGGATCGATCGACAGTCTGGTGCGCGGGCCACAATGAATACGTCCCCAACCCATACTAGGGACCCGTAGCATATTGTCTGGTATCTCCACCCAAGGCCTCCAATCGGTCTGCGACGACCCCGTGAAGTCCCTCGTCCTAACCGGAGACGACCTTCGCGTGCCTCAGGGTCGGCCGGTCGCCAATGAAGCACATGCATGTGTGCTATTCGCTATTGGGTAGATATCTATCTGGTTGTGTGGTGCTGGGGGGTTTGGTGGCTGCCAGATAGTGTTAGTTGCTCTGAGAGTGGCAGATAGTGCCTGTTACCTAGGTATCTTGGTATCCTGGCTCACCCCCACCCTAGCGGCCCTCCTTGAGATGACGTCCAAGAACCGTTCACTCGTTCGACCGGCGGGTCGTCGGCAGTGAAGAGGTCTGTGCGCCGGTGTGCGGTGTCGCGGCGCGTTGTCGGAACGCCGCACCCCTCAGTCCTCACCTCCTCCCCCACACCAGCTTCTTTTAGCGCTTAGCCTTAGGCGTTTTGGGTTCCCCCGTAAAAGAGAAGGGGTCGTGGGCCCGCCCCGCCGTGCCCCCGGAGCAGGCGCACATCGCTTCCAGGGAGGGGGGCGCCCTTCTACTCACACCACATGCTGGGGGGGGGGTCCGACCCCCCCAGAGGCTTCACCACATGCTAGGGGGGGGGGTCATGGCCGAGGACCCCCCAGAGACTCGTGCTCGTGGTCAGACCCTCCGGGCCCTTGATTTTACGCCTCATTTCGCAGCATTTTCGAGGGGGAAAATCATCCTTTGGAGTAACATGAAGCCTTGAGACTGGTCAGATCTCCAAGATATTGGACTTTCAGCCACGATTTCACAACTTTGGGGGCAAAATCGGCTCTCTGGTGGCTATTCCTAACCCA